TTTCTCATTCCTCACTTATACAATCCTTTGTTGCTTTGTCTTCTCTCTTCCTATCTTAAATAGTCTTTACTTTTACGAATGACTCCCAAAGCACATTAATTTGAACGTCTCTAAAAGATTTTTAGAGAACTGTAAATATAGTTTTAATCAGCCTTCTTCATCACTTACAATTTCCTTTTTAGGTTTGAGTAATAAAAATGCACAGCTTTTTTCTTACTGCTGCAAAACGTATATAACAAACACTATCCAGTGAGAGGTTTTATTTATACAGTAAAAATGTTGTTGTATAAATTAGATAAAACAACTGTAATAAAACAATAAAAACAACTGTGCCATTGGTTATAGAAATGTAAATTGCTGTGTTTCACTTGTCAGATATCGCTGTATCACCCAACCCCCTTTTGCGTGGCTGGTTCTCTGGAAAGCAGAAGGCTGCGCCGGCTTAGTGACGATGTTTCACTCTGGAATTGTTGTGACTAGATCTTGGCCTTCTGGAAGAAGCTTGATTTTCTAAACTTCAATAGTATCTATTTCTTCAACCAGCTCCTCTGACCTCTTTAAGGGGCACCCTTACTCCTGAAGCAGGCTAGGTCACTGAAAGCCAATTCTCCAGAAAAAAGTGCTGAATGACCAATTCATTGAAAGCCAGTCTAGCAAGTGTATGTGTGCAGCAGATAAGGCCAGTACAATCATAAAAAGTACCCAAATGTGTGAAAGCCGGGGAGAAAGTGGATCTGTGGTGACAAAATATCGGGCACCTACATTTGCCAAGCAACGTTTCCTTTCAATACTGTGAGGTAGGTCAGCTCAGGGAGCTTGTCCAAGATTACCCAGGTTAGAAGTGTCTATTTCGACTCCAAAAGAAAAGTGCTTTCTTCTACTCGGGTGCATTTTTTAGTGCATGTTGTTCAGCAGCATATTTATTAGCTAGAATAATACTATAAATAGATGCTTCTCTCATCTGCCGCCTGGTTACCATGCGGTACAGTTTGTGTTGGATCAGCAGTCTAAATGCTTTTTTTTCAAGATAATGAATTGATTTCCTATTATTCTCTGAAGGTGCCCAATTAATTTTTAAATATCATTTATGATCATTATGATCTTGATTTATGCATATTGAAGGGTATCCCCCCACTGCGTTTTTTATCCTTGTTGAAACTCGAATTATCCTACCTTTGGCCAATGAGGACCTCTTCAAGTTGGCTCCTGTGTCCTTTTAATGTGACCCATATGGGCTTCGATAGCCATCTTACTATCTGGTATGACAAGATATTGAATGCTCTTTTGTTCATTACCTGTCCCAGACCTGGAATCAATCTTTTCTCCAAGAAACCTTGGTTTCTTTAAGTGGAAGATGGTAGTACAAGAACACTTTGTGGTTGTTAGGAATGCTCATTGCTGTTGGGGGTCATTATTTCTAGGCCTTTTCTGTGGTTAGATAAAATATTTCATGATGCATTAATATTTCCAATTCAGATTCACGACTGCAGGATTTTTACTTAACTTCTGTATTACATATTTTTCTTTCTTCCACACTGAGAATGCTGATCCTCAAAGACGTAGATCATAGAATTATAATATCTCATTAAATTTCTCATCTGTTTTATTCACATAAAACACAGAAGCATCTCAGGGTAACAGTACTAATACTACAGCACCCATTATAAAAACTGAGAACAGTTAAAAAGTTTTTTTGCAGATATTCTCCCCTCATTATTTATGGTTGTGTTATAGCTACACTATCAAAGCATGTAGTCATTATATACTCTCTCCCTTTAACTCTCATTTTGTCTTAGTTCTCAAATATGTACATACCTAGTACTCATCATTAGACCTCAGGTCCATGTCTCTCTAGTTGCTTTGTTGTCTAAGCTTATTCTCTACTAGAGACAGAAAGGGCTATGGGAACAATATCTCCTGAATCCTTGCCTGTTAATAACAGGCTGTTATACTTTGTACTTGGATTGTAGTTTTTATCAACTATCCTGTTTCCTCATTTTGGATTACTTTGTCCAGGACTCTTATTGTTTCTATGTTGGATCTTCTTTGTTTATCTTATATATTTGTCATTTTCTCTTGAATCTTTTTACCTCTTTCTTCATTTCTTTTTGAGTTTAAAAATTTTTCTCCATTCACTGTCTATTTCTCTTAAGGCGTTATTTGTTGTGTTTATTCACTCTTCTTCTATTCCTTCTAGCTTAGTTTTTGTTTCTGAAGTGGTTTTTTCCCTTATATTTCTAACTCTTTCCTGAGTTCTGTCACCTCATTTATAAGTTTGTAAAATTATAATTTATTTGTTCCTTGATGTTTTGTGTCATTTTCTTAATGTCGTTTAATTTATTTTGAAACAGTAGATTACAGATTTTATCTGTTCTGTGAGCAAGCTTACATTGTCTGTAGAGGTGTTCCTCTGCTCCTTTTTCTCTTTTTTCTTATAATAACTTTGTATAGAATTTAACTAGAAAATTTCTTATTTTTATGGGAAATTAGTTTTCTCAAGTTTTTCGAAGGCAACATGCTTCCTTCAAATAGCGTTAACATAGACGGCAGCTTCCTTCCTGAGATTTCCTGGCTCTATTCCCTTCCTTCCTGAGATTTCCTGGCTCTCCATCTAGACTTTCTCTTTCCTTTGTCTCTGTTGATTCTGTCCTAATTAGTTTCTATCCCATTCCCATCAGCTTTTTCTTTAGTGTGGGGCCGTGTCTTAGAAGGGAGCCCCCGTGGGTCACTTTCAAGAATTCACAGTTGATTTAGCTCCTTCGGAACTTACTGTGGACCCCTTTTACTTACCCACCATTAGAGTGGGAACAACTCCGTCTGTGTTTCACTGTGTTTCCTAAATTGTCCTGCTTTGCTTCCCAGTAAATACTTTTGAGCTATTTTGGGGTTCTCCTGTTCTCAGGTGCTTTAGCCCCTCTGTTGCTTCCTTCAGCTTCCTCCTGCATAGCACTGATATCATGCAGTGGCTGTTAAGGCATCACCTGTATTTGGGGTTTTGAGGAGATACCTTGTCACCTAGTTTTGTTGTAAATGTTTTGATATATTTTTCATGTTGCTATTTAGTTGCTGTATCTATTTTTATGTGGGATTCTGGAAGATCCAAAAACTGTGCTTCCACTACCACTGTCATCTTCCCAATTGTGATGTAATTTAAATCAAGTGTCAATATAGGAAAGAAATGAGGATGGGATAAAGTGAAATCCCAATAGTAAATGTATTTACTAGTATAGAGTGATTTGAGGCAAAGTAATAAATTAACATGAGAGCGGGACAGCAGATTTGGTCAATATAAGTAATTTTATAGTACTATGAAGCAATTTAGATGTATTTATGGAGTTATTTAAACATATAGTTTTTAAATAGTGAAATTTAAATAGAGTTTGTTCCTTTCCTCCTTTCTTGTCCCGTTACAGACTCCCTCCTTCCCATGCAACAGATATTTTCTCCTCATCTTGCTTATGCAGAACCACAGAGCTAATGGTCAGGAAAACAGTAAAATGGTCTTGGCAGTCAAACATCCACCTGAGAGCCTGTGTTCAATGAATCCACATGTTAGCTTTCATGTGTCATGGTTTCTAATGAACAGTTGCAAAAGCTTCATCTAGAATTTCTCAAACTAGCAACAATTGACAGCTAATTCTAGTGCAGATTATAAAGAATGGTAAACATTATTCACTCTTTATATTATCCCCCCACATTTATGCTGTTGTACATTAAAGATATTTATTGAGCTCCTGCTTTGTGCTAAGGCGTGTGTGCTGTGTGCAGGGGATACAGGAGGGACCAAGGGACTTCTGGTGTCTGGGGTGTGACTTGTTTCCCAGAGAGCTCACTGCGCCCGTCTTGGCATCACCGCAGAGCAGAGCCACTCTTGCAGATAGGTTTTTCTAATGCAAAAATGTTTTTAGAATCATATCACCTTAATCCTTAAAAATCGATTTTTAAAAAATTCCCCCCAAAGATGTGCAAACACTTGAAAGTGTGTTAGTTCTCAAGGCTAGAACAAGTGGTTAGGCTGGAGTTGTGGTCTTACCACCACAGCTATGGTGTGGATCCTTCCCCTGGCATACTTGTTTCTTGTTATTTCCTATGCAATTTTAAATGAGTATCAACTTATAGAGGGGCCTGGTAATGACATTAAAATAAAAACAGTCAGGTTTATTTCAGGTTAAGTTACTGTGAGCAAAGATTAGTGTATTTTAAATGCACGTGCTGTTTAAATAAATGTTATTATAAATCCCTTTATAAATGATAGTTTTTTATGTAAAACAAATAAGCACTAGCTAATTTATCTTTTCAGTGAATTAGGAATTTTATATATTAGGTTTCCTTAAAGTGAGGAAATCCAGTACATGAACAGTTGCTAAACAGGTCATAATCTGTGTAAACACATGGTGTACTATTTATAAAACAGCATTTGCTATCTTGTTTTTTTTCTGCCATCTTTTTAAATCTCCTTTTGCCACCAGGTTATAAACCTTTTGAATGCAGAGACTTTTATGTTTTTATATCTGTATCAAATGCTTATTAATTATTTAGTGATGGCGACAGTGATGTTGGTGAAATATGGGAGAAAGACATCTCAATTTGTCCTGTTTCAGGATCATATCTAAACATTGTTGGATATAGTCAATCAGTTATTTGCTATGTGTGCTAAGATCTAGGGAGACTAAAAGACGATAATAATCTGTATGCTTAAGAGATAATCTCATTGAAAGATAAAAAATATAAACATGAAATAATAAAAAATTGCCACCTTATTATTTAGATGTCAAATAAAGTTTATATATTACATTGCAGTCATCATAAAAATCTTTTGATTTGATTTATAAAGTTTTTTTTCTTCCCATTAAACAAATATCAATTGTTTTTAGGCCTTTTTTTTTCCTTTTTCTTTCCACATATTTGGCAATCTCTAGTAAGAGAATGATTATGACTATTTTAATCATTAGACATCATTTTGACATCAATATAATTTTCTGATCATATTTCTTGCCTAGGAAAGAGAGTCTATGGTGAGACAGTATGAGACAGCCCGCAAGGCCCTAATGGGAAAGACACCTCCTCATCACACACTCCTATTTCAAAGGTAGTGATTTATCACATTTAGTTACACCTGGGCATCTTTAGATTGATTTTCTGGCATCCAGATATACCAAGTGAATCCTAAATCATCAACATAAACAGGGACCTCTGTACTAAAATGCACCCAGTGATTCAGTAGTAAAACTAGTTCTAGAAGTTGTATTTCCCTTTCATTTGTGTATATTTTTTAAAGGCACAATATGCTCATAGCTACTACAAACTGAGGATTTTTTGCAGTCTTTGAAGACTGCAAAGAATGATAATTCTGGTGGTGTTTGAAGTTTAGTATAAGCCTTCACCGAGGCTGTTCATGACTGAAGGTTAATTATACCCTGTTGAAGCCTGTACTTGACTCTCATGAATCTCAAAACAATAGCAATTAATGCTTTTTGGGATCATTTGTTTAATGTCTCCTTTCCATTTTAATTGTAAATTCCATGAGGGTGGGGACCATTGTATCTTTATTAATTCATGAATTCTTAGTCCTTAATATGAAATATTTCACTTAGTCCCTTCTGCATAGTGAAAGCTTCATATAGTGGCTATAATAGTTATTCTCCTATTAATTATTACATATTTAGGCATTAAGATTCACTCAAAGTGAATTAACCAGGTCCCAGGATGTTTATGAAATGTTTGCATTTTAGTTTCTCATTAATGTTACAGGCTTCAGTATTCTGAATTCTCTTTTCCGTGCGACCTTTTAGAAAGTTTCAGTAATAAAGTGAAGTCCCTGTTTTCAGAAAGTTATTAAGAACGTTGACTAGACCTTAATTATTGCATTTTAAAAAGCTTTTTAGAATGCAATGATTCAAGCAAGCAGAATAAAAAAGCCATTTAAAATGTTTTCAATTTCAGATCTTTTTATTGTCTATAATTTTAAGCTATCTGTTGAAAATCTTTAACCCATGTAAATAAAATTAAGTTTTGTCTATTTGTCCACTATATATCAAAAAAAGTGTGATTAATTTTCTTTGCATTGGTAGGCTGTCTTTGGATAGTCTGATTCAAAAGACAGGCTGTGTGGTACATACAAAGTTCTATTGGGGGCTTGAGAGTGTGGAGGTCAGGAGAAAGGCGGTGTCCCCTAGAACAGCTAAAGCTGGGGCCTGGGTGATTTCTGACCAGCAGAGCAGCCATGCCTATTAAGACACTGTGGACAGAGACACTAAACATTTTTAAATATGAATGGGTTGAACTAGGGCAGGTAGACACTTTGAATTGCATATGTTTGTATGCAATTGGGCTGTTTTGCACACAACAACTCCCTTTAGCATGTCTGGGGTGAATAGCAGTAGGATTTATTGGCTAAAAATGGTTAATGATTCTCTCTGGTCACTCTGGGGAAACCGGCTAGTATAGATGAAAAAATAACATTTTATACTAGAGTTCATTTGAGAGTATCATATTAGAATTTTGAGAAATATTTTATTCTGGTATCATTTCAAAGCATTAGATTATAAAGAAAATTGGAAAATGTCTATTTCAATTTTTATAGCAGTTGATGTATTGCTGGATCTCACATAACAAATGGACTAGGGTTTACAATAGAATAGGTACTAATCAGTAGGAAGATAATTTGCCTATTTTAATGGCTTAATGGATAAGGAATATTCACAACAATACAAATTTGCTTAGTCTACAAATTAGAATGTAATAATGCCAGTGTCTAAGACAAGCTCTGAAGTGAATGTTTATGAATGGATACATTATATTATTCCAAATAGATTTTATTGGCATTTGCAGTTATGTAGAGTGTAATGGTCAGTATTTGGGTATTTCTTGTGTGTATGCTTGATACCATTACAAAATTCTTTGGATTTTTTTCTTTTCCCAATTTCAGGGGTTCAGTACGAGCACCTATCATCAATGGTCTACATTATTTTACAGCTTTAGAACTACAGGAAAGTTTTGACCTATGTGAAGATAATTTTAAACCTGCTTTTGGACCATATTGTGAAAAGGGGTGAGTTGAGTTTTTTTGGATAGAACTGGTTATTTTCTGCTGGTTAATTAAGATCATGGCACTCATCCCTAGGCTTCAGAGAAATCCTAAAACTGGAAAGCAGGGCCCCACCTCCCAATGTGGGATTTAGAGGGAGTAGATCCTGGCCCTCTAGGGAGGCCACAGGGATATGAGCTAGGTTCATACAATTGGAAGCTTCTCTCTGGGACTTTGAATCTTAAGGGAGTGACACAAAGACACAGGGGCAGTTAGAGATCATTTAAGTCACCAGTGGTAGAAGAATCAAGAATCCATTGTGGAGTGCCAGCAATGATGATCTACCATTCTCTTCCTGTATTGTGACTTATCTGTGTTCTTGGCGCCTAGCTGACCTTAGTTCCTGCCCAGTTTTTAAGCCTGGTTCTCTAGTTTTCTGTTAAGTCTAGAAACTACCCAACAGCTTTTCAGTAACTCCCTTTTTTTTTTTTTTTTAAAAAGATTTTATTTATTTATTTATTTTCCCCCCAAAGCCCCAGTAGATAGTTGTATGTCATAGCTGCACATCCTTCTAGTTGCTGTATGTGGGATGCGGCCTCAGCATGGCCGGAGAAGCCGTGCGTCGGTGCGCACCCGGGATCTGAACCCCGGCCGCCAGTAGCGGAGTGCGCACACTTAACCGCTAAGCCACGGGACCGGCCCTCAGTAACTCCCTTTTTAATATTCAAATTGGCCAGAGTTGGTGTCTGTAATTTGCAATCAACATCTCTGATTAGTACAATGCTATATTTCAAAATGCTTATCTGCTGATGTCCAATATATAAAAGGCCATTTCAGGGTCCCAATGCTGAATATGTCAAAGTGTGATTCAAAACCTGAATATGTGTAAGTTGAGGAGCCCATATCGACCACAGCAGACCCTCCACCGCTGATTTTAGTGCTTGGCTTTTGCAGGCATTCTACTACATTCTGTTTCTACTTCAGCTGTGCCTCCCACTACAACTGACCATCTCTCTGTAGGTCTTGAATCCAAACTTCCCAAGCAAAGATCTGGCTGGTTTGGTCAATCACTATCTACTACAGAGTGCCACTCTTGGGTAGAGATCTCTAGCAGGGCCCTTGTAGGTAACAAGCTGGTCTATAGATTGGTTGCCCCTATGTCAAGTACTCATCCTTTATCCGATCATCTGTGGCCAGAGCGATGACAGAGAACCAAGTAAAGAACTCTTCAGCAGGGGTCTGTAGGTTTGACAGTCTCTCTGGAGTGTCTGAATGCATGGCAACGTAATAGACAAGACATGTGACTGGAAGGAAGTACACTAAAACACTAACAGTGGCTATTCCTCTAGAATTATCAATTATTTTTATTTTCTTCTTGATCTTTTTTATGCAATTTTTAAATTGTACGCACAGGATATATATTTTTTATTTTTATATCCTTAAAAAATTACTAAAAATCCATGAGAATTTGATGACATATTCAATAAATGGGAAGAAATAGTCCTTTAGATACAGCTAAGCTTCTCATATCACTCTACATGTTAAAACAAATTTTAGATAAATTATCGTTAAACACAAATAAATGCCTATAATATAATAATAAGTATTAAATGTCAAATGCAAATGTATATCCAGCATAATGTAAATTTAAAAATATTCATATATATGTATAGAAAAAAAAAACCCAGAAAAGAAATACACCAAAATAATATCAGATACTATCTTCTGGTAATGGGATTTATGGCCAATTTTTATTTTTTTTTGGTTCTGCTCCATATTTTCAACAGTGAACATTTTATAATTTTTGAAGTATTAATATAACTTTAAAAAGTTATTTTACAAGTCCACGATAGCAAAGGGATATTTTATAGGGGTAATGTGTCATAATGAGAATGAGAATTTTAAAAATGAGTAATGCTTTCCTTCATTTCTGAGTTTTATTGTTGTAACACTTTGGGTTTCCGTTCATAAATTTGATGATGAAAAATAACTGTCCCCTCCAAATGGTTCACCCGAGTCTGCACATTTCACTAGATACTAGAGACTCTAGCATTATAATTAGTTAGTTAGCTTTCTGTGACAATGTTGAAACTGTGGATTTCTGAGGATTTATTCAAGCTCTAAATTTCTAGTACAGGAAGGTAGGTTGATGGGAAAACAGTGAAAAAGAGAATGTCTCAGTCAGTTCAGCCTCCTATAACAAATTACTGTAGACTGTGGGGCTTAACCAACAGACAATTATTTCTCACAGTTCTGGAGGCTGAGAGGTCTGAGATCAGGGTGCCAGCACAGTTGGGTTCTGATGACGGCCCTCTTCATGGTTTGCAGATGGCTGTCTTCTTGCTGTGTCCTCACATGGCAGAAAACAGAGGAAGCAAGCTGTCTTGTGTCTCTTCTTATAAGGGCACTAATCCTATTCAATTATTTCCCTAAGGTCCCACCTCCTTATATCATCACATTGGAGGTTAGGATTTCAACATATAAATTTTGGGGAGGGGACACAAACATTTAGTTCATAACAAAAGGAAAAAAAAGGAATGCCTAAGAGGCTGCAATGGGCTTATACATCATCTGTTCCCACAGTGAAAAGGGTGGATAAGACCTGTCACTCAAGTCTGACCCTTCACATATGGTAATTAACATGTCTTTCAACTCTACCACTTTTTGACTTCTGACTTTTGAAGTGTTTTCATCTAATACTTTCTTTGATACAAAGAAAAAGTAATTGTTGAAAGGCAGAATTTGTTCTGTGATCCCTTTATTGGTATGTGTTTTATTTTATTTTATTTATTTATTTGTTTTTTGTGAGGAAGATCAGCCCTGAGCTAACATCCATGCCAATCCTCCTCTTTTTGCTGAGGAAGACTGGCCCTGGGCTAACATCTGTGCCCATCTTAATCCACTTTATGTGGGATGCCGCCACAGCATGGCTTGACGACTGATGCCTCTGTGCACGCCCGGGATCGGAACCCAGGCCGCTGGTAGCGGAGCGCGCGCACTTAACCGCTATGCCACGAGGCCAGCCCTCTTGGTGTGTGTTTTAAATGAGGAGGTATTCTTTTCCAAAAGTAAGAGACCAAAACATAAGTGTAATGGGTTGAATTGTGTGTCCCCCCCCCCACCGCCAAATTCATATATTAGAGTTCTAACCCCTAGTAAGTCAGAATGTGACATTTATAAATAAGGTTGTTGCAGATGTAATTAGGTAAGTTGAGTTCATGCTGGAGTAGAGTGAACCCCTAATCCAATATGATTGGTGTCCATATAAAAAGGAGAAATTTAGACACAGACCCATACACATGGAGAGAGCTTGGGGGTGATACAGAAGCGAAGGAATACCAAAGATTGCCAGCAAACCACCAGAAGCTAGGGGAGAGGCCTGAAACAGACTCTCCCTTACAGCCCTCAGAAGGAACCAACTCTACTGACTCATTGATCTCAGACTTTTACACTCCAGAACTGTGAGACAATAAATTTCAACCACTCAGTTCACAATACTTTGTTACAGCAACTCTAGCAAACTGATACTGTATGTATTAAAAATCCAGTGAAATTTTTCTTGCCATTTTCTTTCTGTGTTTCCTTCAACATACTATATTTATATCACTTTAGGGATTTAGCCATAAAGTCTATGGATTATTGTGTTTTTCACTAAAAGAAAAAAGGCTATCTTTAGGCTTTTATACTTTAGAATAAAAGATCTAGCCCATAAAACATCAGTGCATCTAAGACTGTATTTAGGGGGACAAGACTCAGTCTAATTATGCTTCTCGAGAGAAGATCCCAAGCATGGGTTAATAATGGCACTTTTCCTCTGCAAGGGGTAGAACAAAGAGTTGTTCAGTCACTGGAAAATCCAGACGTTGGCAGTATTGGTCTCCGTTTATACTTCTCTAGAAAGTGCTTCTTGAACATGCTCAATTATCTTATGTGGGAGCAAGAGATTGGGAAACGAGGTCTTCTAGGACCATGGGTGTTCTACCCGAAGGGGCTAGCATTCTATGAGGGGGTTCCAAAAGCTGTTGTCTAGCAAAAAGAAGACAGAACCAAGAACTCAGTCCAAGCTGGTAAGAAGGATCTCCTCCTTCAAGTAAGCAATTAGACTTCTCTATCGGTTGATAACAAGTAGTCAAAACTTCCAAGCAGAACCTCTAGGTGCATGGAGATTGCCCCATCCTGGACTATCTCTCCCTGGGAATGTTGGTACCGTCTAGCCCTGGCTGTGGTTGGTAGGAAGCTCAGGTCCCACAGGAGGCAGGTGTCCATGCTCAGCAGTGTGGAAGCTTTCCAGGAGAGCTGGTGCTGGATTCCAATCATGAACTACCACTCAAGTGCTGCAGCCTCTGCTTGCCATTCAAACATAACGCAGACAAAGTGAGTGGCTTCACATTGGACGTGCCCCCTTAGTAGGCCTACACCACTACATTTCATCCTGGGTCAAGGACAGGCCCAGGTAGCTAATTGGACTGTGTTTCTCGTGACAGAGCCCTGAACTCCTGGGCACAACTCATTAAGACTTGTTTCTACCCTTTTCATCTCTGCTACGGTCATAATATCATCCTGGTAGACATAGACACCCTCAGTTAAATAAAAAGGCTTTATCTTGAATAGACTCAATTTGCATCAGCCTTTGCCATTGCCAAATAGGAACTTAAGTTAAATGTGGAGTCTGAACAAGTGGAGGTCAACTTGGACTTAATCCTAGAAACATACTTCTTTACTGAGATAGGAATCATTACATTGGAACTACAGAGAGGAAGGCAAATCATCAGCCAACCACCAGGCTCTGCAATGAACAATTATCTATTAATTTTCAACATTTTAAATCAAGCTTTGGCTAAATCATGAAAAGGCATAACTATGAAGACAAAACTTAACATAATCAACTTTGACAGTGAAAAGTAGAGCTCTAATGACAAAGTTTAGAAGGTGGAGGTGGAAAGTCAATATAGATCATCTGTTGTTGATGGAACGAGAAACGGAGGCCTTAAATGTGATACATGGAGATGTAGATCTGACAGATGGAGGAACTGAAAATAGTGCTAGAACTGTTTGAGGGGAGAAAAAATAGGGGAGTGTTATTAAGTTGGCTAAATCCTTTCCTGTCATAGCAGAAGTCCATATCTATCAACTATATTTTTTAAACCAATAGGTCAATAAAAGTCAGTGACATATTATTTAGAAATAAGAAGATTATTGTCAGAATATCTAAAAAACAGACCGTTAAAATGGTTGGTTCTCAGGAAAATGAAACTGGGGTGATTGTTACTTTTTATTATAAGCCCTTCTGTATAACATGACTTAGTTTTAACTATATGTATATGGTAGGTTGATCAAAATGTTAATGAAATGTTTTTAGAAAAATAAGAAAATCACGAAGAAAAGATGAATATATTTTGATTAAATAAACATTTAAAATTTCTCTAGGCCCAAAACGAATTTAAAAGGAAAACAGCAAGCTGTATAAAATACAACAAAAGAGTTAACATTCAATAAATAGAACTCACACAAACTAATACGGAAAACGCTGAGATCCTCAAAAGATAAATGGGGAAAAGATGTAAACAGTTCACAAAAGACAGGAGAAAAGCTAATTAACAAATACGAGAAATAATGTTTAATCTTGCTGAGAACCAAGCTCAGCTCTTCACTGTGCTCTGCAGGATGAGCTCCCCGGTGGAAGAGCCAGGAAGCAGGTGGATCTCAAAGGAGAGCAGCCTCCTGGTGGGCAGTGCGCTGGTCCAGATACAGAGACTTCAGGCACCCAGGTCACACCCCAGTCTTGTTCTAAAAAGGGGAACGAAGTCAGTCCCTAAACTGGCATTAGGTAGGCTCAATGTGTGGTCCAGATCAGGCTCCTAACATACTTGCACCTTCTCTATCTCTGAAATAGTGGGAACCGCCATATGTAAATTGCGCTTGATTCTGAAGTCCTAGGAATTAGGATCTGTGCCGTACTCATCTTGTTTTTTAACTCCAGCACCTATCACGATACTGGATCATGGATACATGGATCACGATACTATCATGCTCTTAGTAGGCATGTAGTTATGTTTGTATAACGGGTAAGAAGTTTATGCTAAAATGTACAGTACTTAATAACGGCTGCTGTATAGCTCTTACCACAGATGCCATTGAAAACATGTTCACGAACTACTGACATGACTTGATAAAGGTGACCCAATGAAGCCATAGGCAGAGATCATATGGCCATTAGTTTTTCATCTCAAAGATATCATTCATTCTTCATTTTTCAGCGGCATGGATTTCTCCGGAAAGTATTCTGCGTTACCTCAGTCTTGTCCATGGTCAAGAGAATTGCCTTTTCAGCCTCCAGAGGGCGGCATTTATTCACACTCAGGATCGAGAATAAGTGATGTTGAGGCAGATCAGGATCTAAAAGGTATGAGTCATTTACATATGATTCTCATATAAATATTAATATTATATCTATTTCCCACTGTTTTTCTGAATGTTCCTGATTTTTTTAATTAAATGAATATTTTAAGTCTGAATCTCTCCTTTGAGGTAGGGTGGGTTGTTTCCCATTGCTATTGATGAGAAACAAAGTAAAGAAAGGTTAGGAATGTGCTGGAGGTGACTTAGCTACTTCGAGTGGACGCTACTGCTCTGCTCGCCTGGTCACACTCCCCGGGGGTCTTCTGGGGCGAGGGGTGCGTGCTCTCTGGAGGAGATCTTTGACGACTTGGGCTCCTTTCAGTGAAGGTAAAGAGAAGCATGGAAGGTTTCAGATTGCTGGCCAATCTCCTGCTCTGAGAGTCTGGCAGAATCCTAATGGTTTTAGGTTTGAAGGATCTGGTCCATCCCCGCCCCCCCCCTTGCCCCCTTGCTCCCCAACACACACGTGAATGTGTATGTCCAGGCACAGATAGAGTGCTCATTGCATTTTTGTCTCTGAGCTCAGTGGTCATGTTCATAAATGACAGTCAGTAAAGACCTTGAACAGTGTGGGGAGACTGAAGGGCTAGAGGTGAAAATGGGAAAGGGAGAAAGTGACTCAGTGTTGGGATAGAAGGTGGGGCTTTGTGAGCAATTGATAGAGGAATGAGTAAATTGGAGGAATTCTCTAGGACGTGGAGGCTAGGAGGGAGCCACCATTTGTAGCCTGAGTGGGGTGCTCTGCCTGAGCCCAGAAGAGGATGTGAGGATCCTCTGCTTGCTCAGGTGACCAGGGGAACCAGAGAGAGAATATAGACTTGTTAGGTTGCCAGGGACAGGAGGACACAGTGGATGGCATCTCCTAAAGCAGGCATCTTCTAACCATTTCACAGGTGGATTCCCTCTTCAGCTGTAGTTGTATTCAGGAGAGCTGGCTGAGATGAGGTATTTTCAAGGATTTTACTCATGAGGGAGGACACAAGCAATAAGGATTAGAGTCCCAAGACCAAAGTTCCAGGAAACAATCCCAAATTCTCAAGTAGACACTTTATGTCATCTCACAGGATGTGGGAAGTGATCTAGGAACCCCTTAAAGGCTGTGACCTGCCACTCCAGGCCCTGAGGGAACCCAGGAGCCCTGGACCAAACGTGTCACCAAGGCCCATCATGATTCTGGCTTCCCATAGGAAAGTGTTCCCAGACCTTTCCCATCTCATTTTCTTTCCTCTGCCTGCATCCTTCCTTACTAGAGTTGAAAACTGTTTTCCAAACATAATCTAGCCAGAGCAATGTGGGGCTGTTAGCTGTGGGGTAGTGCAGTGGAAAGAACATTGGATTAGGAATCAGAAGACCTAGGGTCTAGTTGCATTTCTACTGTTGTCTGTCTGCACAGTGTTGGGCAAATCAGTTAATGTCTGAGCCTTGGGAATAATAATATCTGTCCTACAATAACACAGGGATATCCTATATTACTATATATTACTGTAATATATACGTATATTATGATGTAATATATAATATAGTAACACAGGACTAGACAAGATGGGTGTGGTATAAGTAAGAAGTAAAGAACCAGATACCTGCTAGGTATTATGATTGTAAATTTTTATACACATAGCAGAAGATTGTGGCAGTTTTTTGCAGGGATGGTTTCTGGAGATTTATTTTGTTCTTTGAATGGGCCATGTTTTCCTGTTTCTTTATATGCCTGGTGATCTTTTGTTGAAAACTGGGCATTTGAAAAAGCAGCTGCCTCTCCAAATCTGTGGCCTGGCTCCATGCAGGGGAAGAGCTTGACTAATTAGCAGGGTGTGTTCTGAGCCCAGGATCAGCCCAGTGCGAGGGCTTAAGGTCTTTTCAGTCCTTTTGTGGCCATGCACTTTCCCTGGACCTGTGAGTGTGCTTTTTTCCAAGCCCCCAGTATACACAGATGTATTTTATCTGCAGTCTTACTCCTGCTTCTTGTTGGGGCCTTGACTGTTCTATTGTGTTCCTCAATTAGTCATCTCTTGCCCCAGGCTTCTGTGGGTCCATCACCCCCTAGCAGTTTTCACGAGCCCTGTCCACTGCTTTCTGTGGCTTCTTCTAGTCTGAGACCCCAGCTATGCCACTTTTGGCCATCTGGGCTCTGAGTTACGTCACACAGAGACCATCAGGCAGCCCCTAGACAGGGTAAACATTGCTTTGCTCTCTCTGGTTCGCAAGAGAGAACTGGGGACCAGGCCTCCCTTCTCCCAAGCCAAACCTCAACTCGCCAGGGTGGGCTTGGGGCAAAGGTGAGTAAAAATTCCATGAAATTTCCCACTATTTGTGTGTGTGTGTCAGGAAGATTAGCCCTGAGGTAACATCCATTGCCAATCCTCCTCTTTTTGCTGAGGAAGATTGGCCCTGGGCTAACATCCATGCCCATCTTCCTCTATTTTGTATGGGACGCTGCCACAGCATGGCTTGATAAGCTAAGCGGTGCGTTGGTCGGCGCCCAGGATCTGAACCTGTGAACCCCAGGCCGCTGAAGCAGAGCACGTGAACTTACCCACCACAGCACTGGGCCAGCCCCCCTACTATTTTTAATATGCCTTTCTCTTGACTGGGCATTCAGTTGGTTGCTGTAGATCTTTCACTGATTTCCAGAGCTCCTATGAAGTTATTTTAGCTAGCCCCTTGTTGTCTACTTAATGTTTCCATGGGGGAAGGAGGGCTGGAGCTTCCTAGTCTGCATCTTGCTGACATCTTTCTGTGGTAGTTTTCTCAGCAATCACATCACACCACTGGCTCTGGGTCAGTGAAACTCTCATATCTTATTCATGTGAACTGCCAAACCAGTTTTCTATCATTCAATATAAGCACACTTCATTTTTTTTTTTTTTGACAGAACTTCAACTTTTATTCTCATTTTTTTATCATTTTGGTTTCAGCCTCACATTCTGACTTGATTAGATTATTTTGGGTCTTGATTCATCTCCCAAATTAACTACTTTATAGATTTCTATAAAGCCAGCAAGCACGCCACCTATGCCTTCGTCATAGTAACTGTCAACAATAGGACCCAGAACTTGGCCAAGAGTAGCATCCTGTGACAAGTCTCTGGAGACTCAATTCCAGGGAGATTCTACCTGGTATGTGATTCCTACTCACATCTCTCTAGTGTATTCACATGAGAAACTTTGATATGTGTCTTGCAGAAATCAAGACACAGTATAGCAGTGGTATTTTCTGACTCAGGGGTCAGCAAGCTTTCTGTAAAGGGCCGGACAGTAAATGCTTTTGGCTTTATGGGCCATGTAGACTCTTGAAACTACTCAATCCTACCATTGTAGTGTGAGAGCAGCCACAGACAATATGTAGTGAATGGGTTTGGGCTGGGTTCCAATAAAACTTGACTTACTAAAACAGGCTGCAGACCAGATCTGGCCTATGGACTATAGTTTGTTGACCCCTGCCTGAGTAAAAGGGAAATTAAGTTAATTTGAAGTAATTTTTCTTTGCAAATCCCTTCCAATACTTAACACTTACGACAGTATTTTCTAAATGCACAAATCATTTCTTTAACAAACTCAAATTTACTAAGGTTTAAAGTCAGGTGTACTGGTTTGTGTATCTTTATTTCCATTTTTAAAATGAGGATACTATTTGTCTCCAGGGCTTTTCTGACTGTCAGTGAATTCTCAAAGACCAGACACTCTAAATTACTTCTGTAGGGTATTTCAGCACCCTGGGATGTAACTTACCTGAGTGTGTCAACTTGGACTGATTGAGAAAGGAGGCCTAATCTTCTGCTGTCTTCTCTCTTCTTCAGGGCCTTTATTCTCTGAAGATGTTTTTGTTACCCTTTCCAGTTTAAAAAATATCTCCATGGTGAAAAAAAAGAAGCAAACAAGGAGGAGCTTTTTCTTTTCTTTTCTTTTTTGTCCTCTGTTAACGTGGTATCGTCTTCTCAAGGAGTATGCCATCCTGACTCTGAATATACCTTGAAAAGGTCCATTTTGCCTTTAACATTTTGGATTGCTTCGGTTTGCCCAATAGATTGAGTCTTCTTGATCTTATGTTATATGTCACTCCATTTTTCTCACTTCCTGGAGAATCCTCTGCGTTACTTTCTCAATGCCTACTACACTGCTTTCTCCCCAGTGAGAATTCGGCTTCCTCTATGGCTACCATGCTTCCAGCTTCAGTCTCTATCATCCAAATTCCACTTGCTTCTGACAGGGAGTCTCTGAAAGAACCTAGCTCCATGGTTCATCCTTGCTGTCTTATCCTTGATGAACAGACCAACCTTAGAGGACATTAGATGAGGTTTTTCTAGGAAGGACTTCAGGATGTGCCCGTGTGTGTGTGTGCGTGCTAAGTCTGCTTATGTATCATTGTAAAAGAATATGGTGCAGGATATGGTTACAGAGAGTATGAGCAGGATAGAAGAGTAGCATAGGAATTCCTTGCTATAGCAACCTTCTGGTCATTAGGCAAGTCCACACAACCCAAGGCTTGTCCAGCCATGCACATCATATATTCTGAAACTCATCCTTTATTTTTCTTGTTTGGATGTCATTTATTCCTTATAGTGTGTTATGAATTAATTCTAAAAATTATTCTGGTGCTTACATTACACAATGCTTATTTCTTTGTTTAGTATACCAAGGGGTTGACTATATGTACTGTATCTTTTTTTTTCTTAATGTTTTACAGCACCAAGTAAACATTCATTTCCATGTGGAAAATGGCCTCTCCAACACAGAAGACACGGGATCTCAGTCATCAGTTGCCCAGGTTCCAACACCAAACCCACCCTCCCTCCAATCCCTCAGGGCCACAAGTAGACCAGTGCTTGACGATTGATCTTAACATGGAAAATTTGCACTGATCATGTCCAACCCCTTTGTCTTACCTGGCCATGGATCCTGGCTATTCTCACTCAACCAACTACCTATAAAAGAATGTTCTATCTGCCTGAATTCTCTCAATCAATTTCTTTTGTGATTCTCTGATTAGTGTCTATCTTTTTTTTAATGTAAGTTATTCTTGGCTTTGAGAATTGTACTTTCAGTTTTTTCCATAGCTATTATTGATTTTTTCCAGCTGCTTCCTGCTGTGAAATATCAGATGGCAAAATCTTTCGAGATCTCTGTGTTGCTATGTGCTTAGTAATTTTTGGATCTATTCAACTGGGATTGTGCTCTTGAAATTTCAATGTGTCCATTTATAACGTTAGTGTATACTCTAGGGGATTGAAATATTTTGTTCTTCTGATTTTGAAAGGGTTGTAGAGTTCCATTTAACTTGTGGCCAACATGATATCAACTGCATCTCTCAAAGGGAATTAATTAATGTAATTTTTCATGGTTCTCAACTTGTTTTAGCAATATGAAAGAGTAAAAAGTATCAGATATTTCTTTCATTTCACCCTTTCCTGGCTCTGATTAAGTACTGCTTGTCATTAGAAATGTTTTTAAACAACTTTCATCATCTTTGTGGTTGCGTTACCTGCTGTTTGCAGAAAAAAACATTGAGTAGTTATAGATAATGCTAGTAGTCAGCTGATATGTGCCAGTAAGACTATCCTGGTTGTTAAAACATTGAAACACATCCCAATGGATTGGTAAATGGTCTCTTCTTGAATCCTCTGTGCATGACTACTCATAGGAACAGGAGCCTTCACATAGTACTGTACTAATTTTTAAATATTTTAAATATCAAAACTCTCTAATGACTTCCCTTTTAAAAATATCAAAATCCTCTTTAATAACTCCCTTTACCATAACTCAGATTTGGATGTAGCATGATTTGCACCTAGCTCTATTCTCAACAGGAGCTGGTTAAAGTTCTTTTCTTGGGGTTGGTGGGAGGGGATGAGAGGGGGAACATGGAGGAGAGGACAAGCCTGAGCAGGAAAAGGGAGGCAGTACTTTCTGGAGAAGTGGGAGGGTGGAGAGTGGGTGGCGTTGCCCCAAGATCTTAAAGAATAGTTTAACTTTCACCAGCATCATCTAATCTTTTAAAAAGTTGTTGCGAAATATTTTAGACACACTAAATGATATAAAAATAAAAGTTACAATTTCAGACAATATGGAGGAGATGTACTTTTCCCTATTTCTCCCATAAGCAAAGTGAAAATCCTAGAAATTATATATAGAACAAAGACAAGAAGATTGAGAGGTGGAAGGAAGAAGGCAGACCAGCTGGGGACCTCAGGACCTGAGTGGTGACATAGTGGTGAGTTCCCAGAGTTTCCTTTTTGCCTCAAATATCCTGAACTGGCTGCTGGAGAAGTTACAACCCCAAAACACTTAACAGTACAGACAATAAAAACTCCAACAAAAAGCCAACTCTCCCTAGCTAAAGGACTAGGAAAGGGGCAGCCTAGCAAGAAAGAAAACTTTAGACAATAACCACCTTACTTTAGTCAAACACCATGGATAAAACTGTAGCCCCACCCTCACCCATCCACCCCTGTCAACAAAGGCTTCCACCCTTTTCTGTAACAAGGTTCTCCTCCTCCTCCTTTCTGGGATAGCGTCAGAGAAGTTCTTGTGGAGAGCCAGGCCTTTCACCACCACCCAATATTAATGAGAACTCCCTCCCACAATATAATTAAAGGCCACTTACGGACCTAGACTTCTATTCCCCAGCTGGTAGTAATGAGGCACCTGTTCCCCTTCCCATCAGGGTAGTCTCAGAGAAGGTCTTATGGAGATCCAGGAATTTCACCACTGACCTATCTCTTTGCAGTGTCAGTGGAGGCCATGTAGGGGCATTAAAGAGTGCCCCTCCCCCTCTCAGCTGAGGTGGTATAAGTGGAGGCCTAGCGGGGAACCCTAAACTTCCACCCCCAGGCAGTTCTAATAAGGCATCATTCCCCCCTTTCCCATCCTAAGTGTCAAGAGAGGCCAAGTGGAGAATTTAGACTTCCACCTCCACCTGGCAGTAATGAATTAGTCCCCCCTCCCTGACTGGTGTGGTGTCAAGAATGTCTGCTAAGAGAGGAGAGTTAAATAAGATCCAGAGTCACATAACATACTATAGCCAAGATGAAATTTTTAAAAAAATACTCATCAAGAGTCAGGAAAACCTCAACTTGAACGAGAAAAGACAATCAACATATGCCAACATCAAGATGAAACAGATGTTGGAGTTACCTGACAAGGAGTTTTGCATTTGGCATATCTCGCCATGCTTTGTTGAATGTTGTCATGTGCTATAAAATATTGTAGGAGCCCAGATGAGATGTTGGAGTTACCTGACAAGGATTTTAAAGCAGCTACCATAAAAATGTAATTCTAATCAACTTGCTTCAGCGAGCAATTATGAACATGATTGAAAAAAATGAAAAAGATAGTCTCAGCAAAGAAATAGAAAATATAAAGAAGAATCAGATATAAATTTTAGAGCTGAACAATACAATGACTGAAATTTAAAAACTCATAGATTGACTCTACATTAAAATGGAGAGGACAGACAAAAAAAAATCAGTGAACTTGAAGACAGAGCAATTGAAATTACCCAACCTGAACAAAAAAGAGAAAATAGACTGAAAAACAAAATGAGCTCCAAGGACATGTAGGCCTATATGTAAAGACCTAATGTTTATGTCATTAGACATCCAGAAGGAGAGCAAAAAGAGAATGGGGCTGAAAAGTATTTGAAGAAATAACATCTGAAAATCCCCCAAATTTGATGAAAGCCAAAAACTATACAAATTCAAGAAGATGGTGAATCTCAGATAGGATAAAGCCAAATAAATCTACAAGACACCTCATAATCAAACTTCTGAAAACTAAAGACAAAGAAAAATATCTTAAAGCAGCGAAAGAGAGATGATATCTTAGTTACAGGGAAAAAAACCCAAATCAAATGATACTGGATTTCTCATCAGAAACCATAGTACCACCAGAAACCATGGAAGTGGAGGAACATTTTCTAGTGCTAAAAGAAAAAAAACCCCATCAATCTAGAATTCTATATTCAGTGAAAATGTCCTTCAGAAATGAAAGAGAAATCAAGACATTCTCAAGTGAAGGAAAACAAAGAGAATATGTTGCCAGTAGACCTATCCTAAAAGAATGGCTGAAGAAAATTCTTGGAACAGAATGAAAATGATAAAAGAAGGAAATCTGGAACATCAAAAAGGAAAAAAGAACAATGGAAAGAGTAAAAATATGGATAAATACAATAGAAGTTCCTTCTTATCTTGAGTTTTCTAAATTACGTTTGATGGTTGAGCAAAAATTATAACATTGTCTGATGTGGTTCTCAATATATGTAGAAGGTATGTATAATTTAAGGCAATTATATTATAAACAGGAGAAAGGGGACTTGAAGGGAGGTAAGCTTTCTACATTTCACTTGAACTATTAAAATGTCAACACCAGTACACTGTAGTAAGTCATATATGAATAATGTAATACCTAGAACATCACTAAAAAAGCTACTTTGTGAGATACACTCAAGAACACTATAGATAAATAAAAATGGAATTAAAAAAAATGTTCAAGTAACACATGAGAAGGCAGGAAAAAGAAGAGAGAAAACCAAAAGACAAAATGACAAACCAAAAGCAGCCTTAACCCTTAACATACCAACAATTACATTAGAGTAAATGGTCTAAATACACCACTTAGAAGGCAGAGGTTGGCAGAGTGGATAAAAAACATGACCCAATTATATAGTGTCTACAAGAAACTCACTTGAAATCTAACAATGTAGGCAGGTTGAAAATAAAAGGTTGGAAAAGTATTTTCATATATTATGCAAACATTAATCAAAAGAAAGTGGGAATGGTGATATTAATATCAGATAAGCAGGCTTCAGAGAAAAAAATTTTACCAGAGACATATTACATAAGGATAAAAGGATCAATCCACCAAGAAGACATTTCAAGATTAAATATGTAAGCACTGAACAACAGACCTGCAAAATATGTGAAGAAAAATTGATAGAACTGAAAGGAGAAATAGACAAGTTTACAATTATAGTTGGAGATTTCAACACTTCTTTCTCAACAATTGATGGAAGACTAAACAAAATCAGCAAGGATACATAAGAATTCAACATCATCAACCAATAGGATTTAATTGACATATATAAAACATTCCATTCAATGACAGCCCTATAAACATTCTTTTCAAGTGCTCGTGGAGCATTACCAAGATAGACCATATCCTGGGCCATGAAAGAAATCTAACAAATTTAAAAGAATTGAAATCATACAAAGTATGTTCTCTGACCATAATGGAATCAAACTAGAAGTTAATAACAGAAAGATAACAGGAAAATCTCCAAACATCGGGAAGCTAAACAACACACTCCCAAATAACCCGTAGGGCTATGAGAGGGTCCCAAGGGAATTAAAAAAAACTAAAAATACATCGAACTGAATGAAAATGAAAATACACTATATCAAAATTTATGAGATGCAGCTAAAACAGTGCTGAAAGAGAAGTTTATATTACTAAATGTATATATTAGAAAAGAGGAAGATTCTTAAATCAATAAACTCCTACCTCAAGAACCTAAAAAAAGAGCAAAATAAACCCAAAGTAAGCAGAGGAAATAATAAAGATAAGAGCAGAAATCACTGAAAATGAAAACAGAAAAACAATAGAGAGATCAATAAAACAAAAAGCTGCTTCTTTGAAAAAATCAATAAAATTGACAACTTCTCTCTGGTAAAACTGACAAAAAAGAGAGAGAAGACACAAATTACCAATATTAGAAATAAAATGGGAAGAAATTACAGATTCTGCAGACATCAAAGGATAGTAAGGGAATACTACAAACAACTCCACATACATAAATTTGACAACTTAGATGAAATGTACCTATTCCTCACAAA